ATGACCTAAGTTTTTCTGAAACCTGAAAATATGACATATAAAAAATTAGATACAATTACCTTTCCAACGCTATATAACAAAACCCACAATATGTACACCTTTGGAATAAAATAACTGTTTTTCTATATAATTGGTCAAAATTATGAATTTTTTTATTTATTTAGAATAGTTTTTAATATATAATTTAATAAATAGATACATAAAAAGTATACAAGATATTTAATTTTATAATAGCCAGCCTTCCATCCACCTTATTTTCCACCTTTCTTTGTGGCTTTTTTCGTCAATCCTTTCTTAGGGTTACTGGGTTCTGCTGTTGATTTCACTTCGGGTTTCGCTTTTGGAAAGAAATCACATTGGGTAGAGGAAGAAAACTTCTTTAACTTGAGCCTTCCATCGCCAATCGGTATGAAAGCATGATATTGAGCGGTACCATCGATTGTTACTGCAGCATCGAATCTGCTCTTCAGTGATTTCGCAGTTTCCGCATGATCATCTTTGCTACTAAAAATTATTTCAGTTTCTTTACAGTACTTCTTTGCCCACCGGAATAAAGCTTTCGCATCTAAAATACGGGCTTGATGAGAGCATTGGAGGCTATACTTCGCTGCATTTCTTTTAATATTTGCTCCTATACCATCACATGCTCCTTTACCATGAGCAGTAGGATGAAAATGCCACTCAGCTGGTGTATCGAAATCTGTTTCATGAGCCATAAGATTTGCGAAGCTACTTTTGTTTTTAAAATGCTGACGAGCTCCATCCGAAACGTAGTATACCTTCGCTACTGTGAATTCGGATTTAAGATAATTTAGTATTATCTTCTGGTACTCATAAACAGCAACGGCGTCATGCTTCAAATCGTCGGATATGATTGCCATACTTTTATGTTCCAGTTTTCCATCTTTCATGTAGTAAATAACTATTGTAAATATAGTTGCTTGGTCGTTATTGAAATGGAATGCTTGTATGGCATCCTGGATAACATATTTATAGTTTTCTGCGAAATCGTATGAAATAACGAATTCACCTGCCTGCAGATGTATCTTCAAATTTTCGAAGAATGACCGCTGCTCCTTGACTAGAAAGTCATGGGTTCTCAAGTTTACCAATC